TCTCTGTCTCTCTGTCTCACTCAACCACTTAGCTTTGGGTCAGGCTTCATATTGCATTAGCTTTTCCTAATTGTGTTTTCTTTGGGAGTCAGGTCCAGATGTATCAGTAACAAGCAGTGTAATGCTGATTAAGACATTTAACATTTCTTGGCCTCAGTTTCCTTCATTGTACAATAAGAGCTTTGTATTCCATGTTCAAGACCTCTTTCAATTCTAATGTTTTAGGGGTCCATCTGACCTTTTTGCTTTCCTTGTTCTAAAAGGAGACAGACTGATGTACTCCAGAGGACACTTTCTAGATGTGTGAATTTGGCAAGATACTTCATCTTCTTGGGTTTCAGGTTCTTTATTTATAAAATGGGAATCATGTCTAATAAAAAGATGCATAGGATTTAAATGAGATTCCATATGCCTATAATATTATTTATTTTTCTTTTCTGGGAAAAGAAATTTTGAGCTGATGTAGGTCCTAGCAAGTGATATAATCATATAATGGCTTAGTACAGGGAAATCATAAATATTTGTTGAATAGAATGCCCACAGTACAGGGAAATCATAGATATTTGTTGAATAGAATGCCCAAAGTGCCATTTTATAAGTTAAAATTTTACTCTCTTAGTATGTGCATGAAATGTAGGTGGGATATTCAGAGGTATGTATCAGATATAGACATTAAGATAAAACATTTTACATTTTGCAAAAACCTGTAGTTTATTTGATGGTTTTTGGAAATTAGACTTTATAAGGCAACATTTATTTGTTGACAAAATATAGCCCATAAAAAGTTAATTTCCAAGCATTTCTTATTGTTTATATTTTACTAGTTACTAGGATATTCTTTGGATTATCAGAGATAATTAAACCAGTGGTGCAGTTTATTTCATAGTCTTTATTAACTCTGGCACACTTGGACATGTCAAAAGCACATGACCTTATTCTCAGAATTCTGTTTTCTATTAAAAATGGAAATGTAAGCATTAAAGTACTTTATATAATGTATAATTTAATAACTAGTTATAAGTCTTTAGCCAGCAGGTGGTATAGAATACAGTTTTTTGATTTTTGATCAGTCCCTCTGACTTGGCCTCATCAAATTTAAGTTTCAAGGAATGTTAGAAACAGGCCATCACTAGATGGCAGTCTTTCCCTAGTTTCAGTCTTTTGTTGGGTGGGGGGAGCTACTCTTTGTTCAATTACAATGTTGACTACCAGTATTAGGTTAAATTTTGTAGGTCTATGACCTTTCCAGAATTTGAGACTTTTTTATTTTTGTTTTTAGCATTTTATATCTGATAAGTGTGTTGGTTTGCACTGAGTAAAGCGGTGTATATACTTGAAATGCTGGTTCAAGGTGAACTGTTAGGTAGTGATCAATAATTGCCTTTTCCTATGGTAGGCAACTAGAAACAAAACCTTTAAATCATTGGTTTTTTGTCTCTTTGATAACCAGATGGAAACTATGGATCAGTTTCCCTTAAAATTACATACATGTGCATCTGCCTGTGCACACAAAATTAACATAAAGTCTGGAAATCATGGATTACCCGATGCATAGCCGTGGCACACAAGAATAGTAAACATAGTCCCAAACCCCTGTTTTAAATATGTGGGTATTACATTTAATTGTAACTTTTAAAAATTCTCAAGATACTCAAGGGATCCACTGTAAACCCTTCATGTTATTCAACAGTATTATAATTAAAGAGAATATTAGAATCATAAAGATAGGAGAAATAGGCAGGGGCTAGTGATAAGGGTTTAAAGAATTAATTAACTTCTTTTGAACTACCTGTTTAGACTATTCTGAAAATGTGTGATACTTACATTATTATTAACTGAAGTTGAAAGTGGAAGTGAATTGTAGAGATTTAGAGCTGAGCTGATACTTCAGAGAATATGTAATTGATTGCTTCCTATTTTCCAAATGAGAAAGCTGAGGGTTAGAGATATTAACTGAGCTGGTCGAAGACTCATAGCTAATTATATTGCTAAAACCAAGGCCACACAGCTAGGTAGCTAAAATCTACGTTTTCTTTTTTTGATATATATATACCAAAAAAAAAATATATATATATATATATAATATATATATATATATATATAAATATATAAATATATATATTTTTGGGGGGATTTTCTTCTTGATACTATCTTGGTAATATTAACGTAAATCTTGGGACGGGACAAATGAAAAGAAGTTTTATATAGTAAAAGGAAGTAGACTTGCTACTTAGAAGTATTACTGGTTCAAGATATAACTGAATTTGAAACTAAGAGTTATCTAATATTAAATAATGTTTGCTTATGCCATTTAGATTGATGAGTTTTCAGTGGTTAGTCCTCTTCAAATGGCAAGGAATATTGGTGTCTTTATATGGAAACTTTTTTTTTTTTTTTTAAAGGGGAAAGGTTATGCTTATTTGAGGTTAGTTGAAATGTCAATGGTAAGTGTATGTGTTGTATATTCCAAATAGCTCTTTCAGGCAAGTGATTATTCTGTAGAGTGTCTTCATGGTCAAAGCAGGGATTGTTTATAATTTATTTGAAGGTCTTTCTCCTTTATTTCAAAAGAGGAGAATGAATCTAGATTGCTCTGGTTTTCTAAAGTAAGTGTTCAGAATTTTTACTGAAAGCCAAACTAGTATGTGTGTTGTCTGTGATCACTACTGAGTTTTGGACAGTGGAACAAACTGACCTGCTCAGTAGAGTGTGCTTTCTGATCCACAGGATCAGGGTAGTGTTTCTGTACTCACAAATGATTATGGAACCAGAAAATATTGGTAATGAGCAAATGCATATTTTTTTTAACAAATGTCAGAGATTAAAGAGGTCTTGGAGATAATGTTAGTCATTCAGTTAGTCAACAGATATTTACTCACTGCCTATTACCTGTCTGGCACTTATCTAGAGGTACAAGGGTGAATATGGCAGACAGAGTTCTGGCCCTAGAGATTTTTTCTAATAGGGATGGGTTGTGGGGAGAGATAGACAGTAAACCATGGATGATGAGGAGAAAGTTGTTTGAATATATAAGGGACAAGCATTATTAGCATAAAAACAGGTAAAACAAAATGTTTGAGGCAGGAAGAAGACAAAAAGAAAACAAAACCCAGTGTAACTGGAGTCTAGAGGGTGGAGGGAAGCTGGGGGTGGGAACTAGAGAGAAGAGAGAAAGAGGTTAGGGAGGTGGAGGCTAGATTATGTAGACACTTGGAGACCACAGTAAGGGTTTAAGATTTGTATTCTTTTTGTAAAGAGAAGCTATGAGAGAGATTTAAGCAGGGGGATAACATCTGAATTATTGCTTTAAAAAGATAATTTTCACTGCTATGTGTAAAGTATGTGCACTGGGGAAGGGAGTGGGGAGATGAAGAGTGGAGAGTGGAGACTTTCAGGAGGTCATTGCATTGGTTCAGTGTGGCAACGATGCAGATATATATGGATTAGGGGTTTAGAGAACATGGTGGGATGTAGTCAGTTTTAAGGTGTGTTTTGGATGTTGAGTTGTCAGGACTTTAATGGATTGGGACGGGTGTATGGGATGCATGATGGAAAGAGATGGATTAGGTGTGATTCCTAGATTTGTATTTTTGACTTGGACAATTGGATAGTGCCATTAGCTGTGATAGGGTGGGTGAGTCTGGGTTGGGGGGAGATTTGGGGAAGGAACAGCTTTGGGAGTGGAGATAGTTTGGTGATGGATGATTTTTTTCCCCTGTGTTAAATTTGAGATGGCTTTTAAAAATCCAATTGGAATTGTTAAATAGTGGCTAAATATTTGAGTCTGATGCTCAGGGAAGTGCTCTGATTTGTAGATATAGAGTAAGAGTAGGAAGTCATCACTATATGCATGGTATTTTGAAGCCATGGGATTAGATGGCATTGATTGGTGATAGAGAGTAGATATAGAAGAGAAGAGGTTTTAGGAATATTTAGAAAAACAATAAAGGAGAAGGCAGGTCAGTGAAAGGATAAAAATTGCATTAGTGTGTATCATTGAAGTCTAGAGAAAAAAGTGTTTCAAGAAGGAAGGTGTGTTAAACTGCAGCAAATGCTGCTATTAGATGGAGTATGATGAATGCTGACTATTGAGAGGTGAGGAAGTGGAAAGGAGTTTTGCTGGAAAGGGGAGCAGAGAAATAAGATGGTACTAAGAGGGAAATGTGTATATAAGGACAGGTTTCTTAAAGTCATGTTTATATACCCATAAGAACGATTTAGTAGAGTGGGAGAAATACACGATGCAGAGGAGGGATAAATGGGAATAACTGCAGGAGTCAAGTTCTTGAGACAAGGATTGACTGTAGCTAAGAGCTTGAAGTATTTTTCCATTACACAAGGGTGGGCAGAGCAGGAGTTAACAGATGCAAGTAGTTTGGTTGATTTTAGTGGGAGAAGAAGAAATACTTCCTTTTTTTTTTCTGTGATCAGCTGCTGAAGGTGAGGGGGTGGCTACTTTAGGAGAGGAGAAAGTAAGGTTTTTACATATAGTTATTTTGGAGAATACGAAGTGATTTTTTTTGGTGGTGGTGGGGAGATTGATTTAGTAGTATTGTGTATTGATATTTATTAAGTGCTCAATTCAGATTTGTAGGTATATAGCCCACTTGAGTCTAGCCAGCACAGCTGTGTGATTTTTCTCCATCAGTGTCAGTTTCTCGGGTATAGTCATGGAGTATTTCGAGTTGTGTTTATCCAAAATAGAGTTTTTCTAGATTAATTGAGAAAGAAAAGTGCAAAGGAGTTGTAATTCAGTTCTTCACTTTATGATGAGAATTCTATGATGAATACTGTCAAACACTTTAATATTTTTGAATGAATAGGAAGCAAAATTTTGAATTTTCCTAAAAAACAGTCATCTAGCATTGGGGCATTATGAATACAGATGTATTACTCTGTGGTTTATGTACTTTAAGATCTAATTTCTTTTGCTTCTGGGTTTGCTATTCTTTATTCTTAGAAGTAAATCTGGTGTAATCTTCATGCCATTTTTTTTAAAGGTCTGTCTATGATGGTGAGGAACATGGACGATTCATGGAGAAGCTTGAAACTCGCATCCGAAATCATGACCGAGAAATTGAGAAAATGTGCAACTTTCACTACCAGGGCTTTGTGGACTCTATAACTGAACTGCTGAAAGTGAGAGGAGAAGCCCAGAAACTCAAAGTAAGGTCACTCTAAGACAGACTTGTTCTCTGTCCTGGCTGGGGTTTTGACTAGCATTAAAGGAATAGGGAATACATTGCAGGTTACATCTTTACTACAAACGAGGTTTTGTATAGTAAGAAAGGAATTTGTACTGAATATAGATAATTGGGACTGTTGCTTTTAGTTAAAAAAGAAAACTCTTTTAAGTTTAATTTATTTGGGATATCTACGTGTGATGAGAACCAGTAACAGAATAAGTAATAGTTTCTTTCAAACAGAAATTCAGTTGATTCTTTATGACATCCATCTACTTGTTAGATAAAAGTCATCCCTATAGGATGATGGTATTGCAGGGCCTGGCTGTATTAGCCTGCAGCATGGCAACCTAAGCCAAAGGAAAAAAATCACTGACAGTTATAGAGTGTCTTCTACCAAAGCATGAAAGTTCTTTCTTGATATGACAGATTCTATGTATCTACTAATACGGAGGTTAGTCATATTAGTCTGGGGTCTGGCTTAGCAAATTCACTTATCTTGGATAATTGACTTTGCTTATTGATTTTACATCTAACCACTTTACTAGACTCTTCTATTATTTCTAATAATTTGTATATAGAGTCTTTGAGTTTTCTATGTAAACTTACTCATATGATCTGCAAGTAATAACAGCTTTATTTTCTTCTTTTCAGTCCTTATACTTCTGATTTTTCCTTCCTTCCTTCCCTTCCTCCCTCCCTCTACCCCTCCTTCTCCCTCCCCCTCCCTCCCTCTTTCTTTCTTTCTTTTGGTCTTATTGGAATTTGAATTGAAGTCCCAAAAAGATATTCCTGGGGCATGGGGTGAACTTGACAGTGAGTGTAAAATTCATATAAAAGAATATATTGCTAAGAAAAGCAAAGAAACAATTTTACTGAGTGGAGAAATGGACTAGTAAATATTAAATTATATTTTAAAGCTATAGTGATTTAAAAGCCAATTTGATAAAAAAAAATCTGACCTGAATGGACATAAAGCTATCAGACTTCTTAATAAATATATTTTATTTAATGTAAATTATTTACTTTGCTATAGAAATATTAATGTTTTTGATTGTGGGATGCTGTCCTAGTACCCATTGGTTATATAATATACAATATGTACCCTATTATCTTTATAAAATCACCAAAATTCTAAAATCCAAAAGGTTTCAAATAAGAGTTTATGGACCTGTACATCTCTTCAATTATCTTAAGAAATATAATACTGTCAGTTAAATGCAATTAAAATTCTCTTTTGTAGCCTTCTCAGTTGTTTCCTCCGCCCTCCTCTCCAAAAATAACAACTCTTCTAATTTGTCGTTCATATTCTTTAATGCTTAACTAATTGAAATTAAATACCTTTCTAATTAAATTAAATCCCTTGCTCATTCAACAGCAAAATTAATTTTAGATAAATTGAAGAGTTAAATGTAAAAAATAGAATCATAAAGTAATTAGTAGAAACTATAGATGAATATTTTTGCGATTTGGGGAATGAAGAATACATTTCTAAACAGTCCTATGGCAGAAAGAAGAAAATGGATAGGAGAACATTAAAATGAGTAAAACTTTTCTACATACAACATAAAATTTATAAGGTAAATAATAAATAAAAATATTTACAAATATATATGATATTCTTAACATATAAAAAGTCTTTATAAATTAATAGGAAGTATGAACACTAACAAAATTGAGAAATATACATTAATATACAGTGTACAAAAGAAATACAAGGAAACTCTACAATTTAGAAATAATTAAAGGAACACAGATTTGAAATATAAGGTGTCACCTATTAGAATGACGAAGATGAAAGAAATAATATTTAAGATTGGAGATGATACCAGTCAACGAGGGAATGCCTGGTTGGAGTGTAGATTGTTACAGCCTTCGAGAAGAGCTATTTTATTTATCAATACTTAAAACTCCACATAGTTCTAAGATTTATTCTAAGGCTATACAGGTGCATGTACAAGGATGCTCTTATGATGTTTTTTTTTTTTTCCCCAATAAGTAAAACTTTAAAATGTTCCTAAAAGTCATTTGGTAGAGGAATGGTAAAATAATTATGGTACATTCATTTAAAAGAATAATAAACTACAATATATTGTAGAATAATATCCAACAGGGGAAAGTATTAGAAATGTTTGCTTAATGTATAAGGCTGATTAAAATTATGAACAATTTGATCCTATTTAAAATAAAGTTATCTGAATTTTGGGTGGCAGAACAGCCTCAGATGAACAAAAGAATTTGAAATGTGTGAAAATAAAGATGTGGGGTTCCTGCCAGGAGCTGTTTGTGCTGTTTCTTCTTACTCAGCCATCCCAGCTTCCCACCCTCACCTCGGCTGTTCTTTTCTCTGCTCCTTGAACACCTGTATTCCAAACTTCTCCCTCCACTCCCTGTGTCCCTCGTCCATGATGGGCACCAGAATGTTCTGTCTCCAGTTACTGAAATAGTCAAGTGTAGGCAGGTAGCACTGAATATTGCCTATAATGCTCACCAGTTTCTGATATCCCTTGCTGGTTGGTACTCATATTCTTTTCCTTCAAGTTGCACATTCCTCTAAATTACTCAGGATGTCCCTGAGTGAGGGAAAGCGAGGACTGGGGACTGCCAGTTCAGGGTTTTAGGCTGCACAGGCTTCACTCACTCATTCTAAGAAGTGAGGGGATTAAAGTTTAGCAGCACACCTTGGAGGTTCTGCTCTAGGTGGATCCATTCAACTGAGGTTAAGAACCTATGAAGTTTAGAGGTTCTTGAACTCTAGAAAAGAGTTTATAAAATGAAAAGGCTAAGCATTAACGGTTCAGTACTGTTTTAACATAATAATGAAAAGAAACTACTATCTCTAGGATGCCTATTATTTCTTTTGATTCACAGCATGTGTGTGTGTCTGTATGTGTGTTTGTATATTCTGAATCGAGAAGTAGCATCTTAGAGGGGCCATATAGTTTCTTCTCATTGTTATCTTAAAATAGTATTGAAATAGTAATTTCTTATCAGCAGCATTGTTAGGCTGCTATGGAAATGTTTAGAATCTGGTATGCATGAAATCGGTTAATGGACCATGATCAATATTCTTAACAAGAATTGAAATAAAATAGACTAAACCAGAAAATAAGAAAGTGTATTTTATGTGGTAATGGTAAACTTTGTTTCTTGAAAATTTTGTTTTAGTTTTGTGTGTGTGTGTGTGTGTGTGTTTGTATTCCCTATAATGTGTGCTGGGCTGCAATGTAAAATGTATTTCTGACAATGAATTTGAAGTGAAAAAAAGTTTCAGAAATGTTCTCTTAATATGATAAACAAGGTAGTATTCTAACAGAGGCAATGTTGCTCAATTTAATAGTATTCATAGAAAGTTGGATTTTATGAGATCTTCAGTTTAGAATAAAATAATAATAGAATTATTCTTGAATAACTGCTCTGAAGAGGGTACCAACACCATTCAGGGCAACCAGCCTACCCCATTTTTATTCACATTGGTTGAAAGCTTTTTCTTGTACTGAACTGATATTAATCCTATTTTCTAGTAACATCCATTTATTGGTTTGAGTAATAAGCACTATTTTTAGGGCACCACCTTTCTTCTGATAGCTCTTCAGATGTTTGAAGAACTGCTGTTGTTTAGGTATGGTGTATAGTGTATGGTGCCCAGGTTTTAGTGTATAGGGTCTCCAAAAGAATATTTCCCCCTCTTTGTGAGACAGGCTGAGTCTCTCCTAGAAAAGACTAAAATTTTCATCAGTTGCCCCTCAAACTCTGTACCTAATTAGTGCCAGGTATTGCTTTCTCTGGCAGAGATTTTCTCGACCCCAACGCATGTGTAGTTAAGCCCCAGAACAATCAATTGCTTTGAGACCTTACCCTCATTATAATAGTAAAAAACCATATCCTGGGTGGAGATTTAACATGTTAATGAGACATGCGACACATGAAGAAGCATGTAGTTATACTGCCAAAATGCCAAAGAGTCCCCACCTCTGCATACTTAGATGTCATGCTTAGACTTCTTCTTTTTGGCCTCAACTTCTTCAAAACTGTTCTCTGGCTTTTGTTTGGGGAGCAACATTTCTCTTTCTTTCTTTAAATGTGGTCTCCCTGGGTGCTCAAGCTGTATATAATGAGCCCTATTTTTGTGGTAAACTCTCTTGATTTCTATCTTGGGAGTTCCCAAAAACCCAGGTTGGTTCAGTGGTAGAATTCTCCTCTGCCATGTGGGACCACCTGGGTTAAATTCCGGCCAATGCACCAGGCTCTGTATGGGTCTCTGGTGATCTCTTTTTATTTCTATCTTGGGAGATCACAAGAACCCTGGGTGCTGGTAACAACATTGTGGCTAAAAATTCCTTTCTCTGTTTTTCATTTGGTAGCTTTGACTCCATCTTCAAACATATTCACGTCTAATCATGCTTCAGTTTGTCAATGGCTTTCTTAAAACATGGCTTCTGAATGTAATTCTCATAATGTGATCTTAAAGCCTTGCCATCTCACTTATTCTGGACCAAGGATCTACAAACTATATCTTGCAGGCCAAATCCAGCTTGCCTCCTATTTTTTGTAATTGAAGTTATTGGAATATAGCAATGCCTATTCACTTATGTTTTTGGCTGCATTCTTGCTACAGTGGCAACAGAGACTATCTACCTGGCCCTTTACAAAACAATTTGCTGACCCCTGTTTTAGACAACATGTTTATTTTATTTATTTTTTTATCCTCACCCGAGGACATTTTTTTTTTTTTTCGTTTTTTGTTCAGATAGAGTGGGAGAGAGAGAGAGGAAGAGAGAGAGAGGAAGAGAGAGAGAAAGAAACATTGACATGAAAGGGACACATTGAGTGGCTGCCACCCGCACGACCCAACAAGGGCCAGGGACAAACTGCAACTGAGGTACGTGCCCTTAGCGGGAACCGGACCCGGGTCTCTCTGGACCACAGGCAGAGGAGGCTCTAACCGCTGAGCCAAACAGGCCAGGGTGACAACATGTTTATTAATGTAGTCTTAGAGAGTTTGGAAGGCTACATCATACTCTTAATTCATGTTGAGCTCACAGTCCAGTAAAACTAAGTGTTTCACATGTGATACTATTAAATAATCAGGAGGGAATTTGAGGATTTCTTGCTTCTGTTTTTGATAGTTAATAGACTTTCTGGCCCTGGCCGGTTTGGCTCAGCAGTTGGAGCATCGGCCTGTGGACCAGAGAGTCCCAGGTTCGGTTCCCGCTAGGCGCACATACCAATAAATAAATTAAACAAATGGATAAATAAATACATAAATACATAAATAAATAAATAATAGACTTTCTGGAGGAAGTCAGGTTTCATTTTGTCTTTGAAAGGGGGTGCATATGATAATCTGCTCTGAAAACCATAGTCCAGGTGTAGTTTAGGGCAAAGTTTTCAAAAGTGTGTTCCTGAAAAACTGGTTTCTTGATATGATCCTTAATAAAAGGATGTTATGTTAAGTAACTTTGGAAAAGACTCTGTATATAGAATAGTAAAGGCGTCAAGCAATCCTCCATAAAATCAACTGTTCATTGGTATTTTCCATAGATATTGTGTGTGTGTGTGTGTGCACATGTACACTTCTGTGTGCGTGTACAGAGTACCTATTACCTAACATTTTTTGATATTCTAAGGGACATAATAGGAAATGCTGGGTTAGGGGAATGCCTTAAAAGTCTAAGGAGTGGCTGCTACTGGTAGAAGGGTAGGAAAGCCTCTGTCAAAGAAAGCTTTAGAAGTTAATATTGCTCATGCTTTGATAATGTCTGAGATGGTGAAGAAATTACTATTCTATGTTCTTATATTTTTTATATCACTTGAGTCTTCAGAAGTAGATACCCTAAAAAGTGGTGCCAGTTCCTTTAAATTATGAACTCTAGATAATTTTAAGGCTTGTTCTCATAGTTTTGACTAGCTGATGGAGAGATTAATTTAGAAAAATGAGAATATGGAAGCGTGAGGACCGTTAACAATTAATGATACAAAAAGAATTAAGTTAAACATTTTCTAAAGTTAGGATAATAAATAGGGTAAATTTGACTAGAGTTAAAAAGTTCGATTTAACTTTTCCAGGAATATGTTAGTGAAGTGAGGAACATCTATGTTAAAATTTGTTCTTTTTGCACATAGTAGAGATGGTAATATTCTTTGTGGGTTATTTTTTCTATTTTCTTTTTCTTTCAAAATTTAAGTTTGATCTTTATTATTATTTTTTTATTTTAATTATGATCTTTAGTTGTTACAGTATTGTTTGGAATATTTAAAATGGAACATACGTCTTAGTAAATTTTTCTTTTAATGATTGAAAAGGCCATGTAACATTTAGTAGAAAAGTTGATATAATTGCAAAACAAGAGGATACCATTCAACCAAAATGTGGTAGAATACTGAAACTATCTGAATACTTATCCTCAATTAGATTTTTCGTTGTAAATTTTGATCTTATCTTACTGTTGTCTAAATGTTTGTTTTTATGAGTTTAAATTGTCTTCTCTCCACAGAATCAAGTGACGGATACTAATAGAAAACTACAACATGAGGGAAAGGAAGTAAGGCCCGTTTACCTTTTGAAAAAAGCTTTTCTGTTTTCTGTCATTCTCTTTTGACGATTGTGTTCTTGATTTAGTGGCTTGTAAGACCATCAGCAGTATATTGAAGGAATTTGAATATTATTGTTGCTTCTGCTAATGTTTATCTGAATTAAATAAATATAGCCACTAGAAAGCTTAATGAGAGAGGATGTAGCCTTCCTTAGCTGTGTTTTTAAATCACGGGGGTAGTCATCATGACAGTGCTGTCCCCTCTGCCTGGAATGCTGTTTTCCCAATATTTACCTCCTTCAGACCTTTCTGTTTTTTAATGAGGCATTTTCTAATCACCTTATTTGAAATTGTAGTTTCACTCTCAACTCCCTATATTCTTTACACCTTTCTTGCTTTATTTTTCTCTATTGCATTTATAATGCTCTGATATTATATATTTTTACTTATATATTTGTTTTTTTGTCTCCTTCCATTAGAAATTAAGCTCCATGAGATCAGGAATTTTTGTCTGTTTTATATATTACTATATCTCCTCTCACTGTTGTGACTGGAGCACTGTGGGTGCTCCATCACACTTGTTAAAAATAATTTGATCCCATTAATTGATATACTCATCATTTAAGTCATCACATGTTATAAGATTATTTTATATCCATTTTCTCACTTGATCCTCATGGCAGACTTATGACAAAGCCAGGACAGGTATTATCACTATTTTATTGATAAGGAAACTAAAACATGATTTGATAAAGTAAATGGGAAGGCTGGGACTAAAACTCGGAGTTTCCTGACTTGTACTAGCCCATTTCTGTTCTCCATATTATGTTCCTTTTTTATTTATTGTTTAATTTTAATAATCTTTAAGATTAGCTCTTTAAGATTATCAGTGACTTGATCAGGACCATTCTCTTTTGTTCTTTTTTTGCATGGTGTATCTAAGCAGATAACATTTTTAGATATGGGTATGAGAATACTACAAGAGGCTATGTAGATAGATTAGTCCTTTTTGAAAGCTTGTCACACATTTTAAATTATGCAAAGGGTATAGTTTCTTTTGGTTTTATTGTGGTATGACTCAGACCGAAGCCTTTAAAACAGCTATGGGAAAAGAAGTGAGTTACTCTTCACTTAACTGGGATTTTTAGAAAAGCACAACTTCTAAGTATGTGGTTTATGTGTTGAAATAGAGATTTGGTTGAGTTTATTTTTAAGATTCAGTTGAAGCTGTATAGGAGGAATGCTTTCTTCTAGCACTCCAGTGCTGATGGAGAAAATACAAGATCTCAGAAGAATGATAAAAACAAACCATGAAGAATATGAATAGGGTTTGGAGAAAAATCTGAAAATTTTTTGTTTTCTTCTGGATAGCCTCTGAATTTTGGTATTTTATTTTACCTAGCCTTTCCTTGTATATAGTATATATCCTGAGGAGAGAGTAGGAAACCAAGCAGAGATGTTTTACTGGTTGGTTGAGAAAGGCAGTTCCTTTGTCCACTTGGCAGTCTTACTATGAAACTGCCTGGGATTTTCTGATGAATTGACCACAGGGTGGAAAAATGTGACTGAAAGCTTTTTATTTACAGCTATTGGCATAATTCAGTTTTTTCCCCTCTTGCCAAGCTGGTAATAGCAATGGAAGAGCTGAAGCAGTGTCGACTACAACAGAGAAATATTTCTGCCACTGTTGATAAATTAATGCTGTGTCTTCCAGGTGAGCAACTGGGAATTGAGTAGAATTCTTGATGCAATTCCTTTAGCTTTAATTAGTGTTACACTTTCTCTAAATAATGCTTGTGTGCTTTTTTCTCTTTCAAGTCCTGGAAATGTATAGCAAACTGAGGGACCAGATGAAAACTAAAAGGTAAGATTTTTTTATTGAGTATTTTTTGTTCTCTAACATTTCTGTTATTTAAAATACTTTTAGGGTATATATTTAGCATAACCTTTCAAAAATAATTAAGTTTATATAACATATGTTCTAAACTTTTGTATATCTATTGATTTATCCTGAGACTTAGTTACATATACTAGTGGTATGCTGATTTATTTTGTCATGTATTATGTTTAATAAAAAACTCTATTCATAGTTTGAGTTTTAGAAGACCTAGTCTTTCAAGGGAAAAGCATATAACTGTTTTAGTGATAGTTGGTTTGAGAAACATGCTTTGGTTTAGCATTGTAGGAGAATAATTGTTGGTGCAGGGTTCTCCATTGGAACAGAACCAATTGTGTGTGTGTGCCGCGCATGGAGGGGTTGGGGAGGGAGGGAGAGAAAGGCACTTTAAGGAATTGGTTCACATGATTATGGAGGCTGGAAAGTCTACAATCTGCAGGCTGGTAGGCTAGAGTATCAGGGAAGAGTAAATATTGATTGTAGCCTGAGTCTGAAGGCAGTCTGCTTGCAGAATTCCCTCTTCCTCAGGGGAGTACAGTCTTTTTTCTATTAAGGACTTCGACTGAATGAAACCCACTTACATTATGGGGAGTAATCTTCTTTACTCAAAGTCTGTTGATTTAAGTATTAATAATCTCATCTAAAAAATACCTTCATAGAAATATCTAGATCACAAGGGGCAAGGTCAAGGTTAAATTCAGAGGATTTCTTTCCTGTGTGTTGTTTTCTTCTGTTTATTCCAGAGGAAACTCTATAGTAACTTTTTGGCTCTTCTCCCCAAACTAGAGTAAGCATCCCCACCCTCTCTGCCCTGGGGTACCATGCAGTATGATGGGGGTATGTGATGCCGCAGGTTAAATAGGATACATCTTCTTGCAATATTAATTATACTTAGCTTTTGAGGGAAAAAGGTATGGCATTAAAATGTATTTAATATTAAGATAAGAATAGAAATATTGTGAATAACAAATCTAAATTCTCAAGAATTTTAAAGCTAAAGCATCAAAAATATTTTAATTTCTTAGGGTTGTTTCCCAGACTCCCTTCTTCTCTTCAGGAGAACATGTTCATATAAAAGAACATAGGTAGAACAATATGAGATGTGAAAGTAGTATGATTTTCCCAACAATCTTTTTGTAAAGTTCTAAAATTATAGAGAATAATAAAACAAAACAAAACACACTTGTGTGCCTTCTCTGAATTAACAAAAGTTTTCTTGTTTTGATTCATATATGTGTAAATATATATAGCACACACACACATACACAAATATGGATGGAAAGAGGTAAAGATACACATTTTTAAAATTACAGGTAAAACTTATGTCCTCTTCCTTTGTCCCATTCCTCTCCTTACTCCCTTTAGGAAACCAGTATCATTTGATGTGTCCTTTTGGTCAATGTTTTTAATATCTATAAATCATGTATTATTTTGTATTTTGAAAAATGTTTACATGAATTGTTCTCAGTTGTCATTTTTTGAGATTCATTTATTCATTCATTCAACAAATGTGAATTGAGTACCTAATGTATGCTAGGCATTGCTTTAAAAAGGTGCTGGGGTTACAGCTCTGACCAAAACAAACAAAAATATTGGCTCTTAATTTTTTTTTTTAAATCCTCACTCGAGGATATTTTTCCATTTATCTTCAGATAGAGTGGGAGAAGGGGGAGGGGGGAGAGAGAGGGAGAAAGAGAGAGAGAGAGAGAGAGATCAGTGTGAGAGAGACACATTGATTGGTTGCCTCCTGCATGACCCTGACCAGGGCCAGGGATCAAAATGCAAGTGAGGTACGCGCCCTTGACCGAAATTGAACCCATGACTCTTTGGTCTGAGGGCTGATGCTCTAACTGCTGAGCCAAACTGGCCAGGGCAGTTGTTGAAAGTTTTTATTAGGAATAAGAATTGTTTTTGTCCAGTGCCTTTTCTTTGTCAATTGAGATGATCATATATATATTCTAGTTTATTTATATGATAAATTATATTAATTAATTATTGAATGTTAAACCAAACTTGCATTTGTGGAATAAATTTCACTTGGTCATGGTATATGATGTGGTATTTGATATGCTAAAAGCTTTGTTGAGGATTTTTGCATCTGTGTTCATGAGGAATATTTATGTGTATTTTTCTTTTTTTTTGGTAATGCCTTTGTCTGATTTTGGTAACAGATATAATGCTGGCCTTATAGAATAATTGGGAAGTGTTCCCTTTTTGATTTTCTGGAGGAATTTGTATAGTGTTGGCATTGTCTTATATATTTGTTAGAATCCACCAGTGAATGAACTTGGACAAGGACATTTATTTGTTTTCAGTGAGGTTTTCAACTACAAATTTAATTTAAAAAATCAGTACCGGGCTGTTTGCATTTTTGTTTCTTCAGTAAATTATGCTTATTTGTGTCTTTCAAGTAGTTTGTTCATGTCACCCAAGCTATTGAAATCATTAGTAAAAATTGTTCATGATATTCTCTTATTTTAAGATGTTTAGAATCTATAGTGATACTTTCTCTTATGTTGATAATATATATCTTCCCTGTCTCTTTAAAAATTATTTTTCAATTGTAGTTGACATACAACATTAGTTTCAGTTGTCTAATAAAGTCATTAGACATTTATATACATTATGAAGTGATCACCCTGATAAATCTAGTACCTATCTGTTTTTTGTCTCTCTCTGTTTCTGTCTGTGCCTTTGTCTCTCTGATTATTCTAGCTAGAGGTTTATCACTTTTATTAATTTTTTTTTCAAAAAGCACCTTTAGATTTTTTTCCCCATTGTTTTTTTATTGTCTATTTTATTGATATCTGCTATTATCTTTAGTATTTCCTTTCTCCTGCCTACTTGGGGTTCAATTTGCTCTTTTTCTAGCTTTATAAAGTGGAGGCCTAGAGCATTGATTTTGGTTCTTTCTTTTCTAATGTTGTCATTTAAAACTGTACCTTTCTAAGTAGTGCTTTAACGGAATCTTACGTGTTTTATGATTTTTAAAAATTACTTCCTAATTTCTCTTGTGATTTTAAAAATTCAGTTCACTAATTATTTAGAAGTGAAATGGTTAATTTCCAAATATTGGGGGATTTTTCCAACATTTATTTATACTTTTAGTTCATTGTATTTACAGGTGTAAAATGTATGAATTTAACCTTTTATGTTTGTTGAGACTTGTTTTACACCCATCATGTGGTCTGTTTTGGTGAAAATTCCATGTATACTTCAAAATGTATATTCTATTATTGAGTAGCGTATTTTTTAGCTGTTATTTAGGTACACTTGGTTTATAGTGTTGTTCGGGTTTTCTACATCTTAATAATTTTGTATTTGTCAGTTGTTGACAGAGGAGTATTGAAATTGCCTATTATGATTGTGGATTTGCATATGTCTTTCTGTTCTTTGAGTTCTTGCTATGTGTATTTTGAAGCACTTTTATTGGGTGCATACGCATTTAGCATTGTCATATCTTCCTTTTGAAATAACCCAATTATTATTATGGAAGGTTCCTTTTTATCCTTGGTAATATTTCTTTTTCTGAAATATATGTTGTTTGGTATTAATGTAGCCGTTGCTGCTTTCTTCTTATTTAACCTTTACATTGTCTCTTTAAAATTTTTTTGGTCAAAAACATTTTAAACAGCATTATTGAAATATAATTTACATACTATTCAATTCATCCATTTAAAATGTACAGTTCAGTGGCTTTTAGTATATTCACAGAGTTATGCAACCATCACCACCATCAGTTTTAGAATGTTTTTATTCTTTCCAAAAGAAACTTGGAGCTTCTTAGCCGTCACTACCCAATCCGTTTCTGGTCTCTGTCCTCTCTTGCCAGCTACTGGGAACCACTAATTTATTTTCTGTCTCTATAGATTTGCTTATTCTGGAATTTCATATAAATGAGTAATACAATATGTGGTTCTTTGTGTTTGGCTTCTCTCATTTAACATGTTTTCAAGGTTCATTCATGTTGTACTGTATACCAACTCTTTATTTCCTTTTATTGCTGAATAATTTTTCATTATAGTGTATATCACATTTTTTTTTTTTTTTTTTTTTGTACATGCCCCTAGCGGGAACCGAACCTGGGACTCTCTGGTCCACAGGCCTACACTCCAACCGCTGAGCCAAACTGGCCAGGGCTATTCTGTATATCACATTTTATTGATTCATCATTTGATAAACATTTGTGTTGTTTTCACTTCTTGGCTTTAATGAATAATGCTGCCATAAATTTTTGGGTGGAGATATGTTTTCATTTGTCTTGGTTATATACCTAGGAATAGAATTGCTGGATCATGTTTTAACCATTTGAGAAGTACCAGCTTGTTTTCCAAAGCAGCTGTGCTTTTACCTTCTCACCTAATACCAGCAGCATATGAGGATTTCCATTTCTGCACATCCTAGTCAATACTTACTATTGTGTCTCTTGATTATGGCCATCTTTGGGGGGGGGGTGAAATAGTATCTCATTGTTCATGTTCATTTTTTTAAATTTATTTTTATTTATTTTTTATCCTCACCCGAGGACATTTTTCCATTTTTGCTCAGACAGAGTGGGAGGGAAAGAGAGGAAGAGAGAGGCAGAGAGAGAAACATCGATGTGAAAGGAACACATCAAGTGGCTGCCTCCCACACAACCCCAACCGGGGCCAGGGACAAACTGCAACCGAGGTACGTGCCCTTAGCGGGAACCGAACCCGGGTCTCTCTGGACCGCGAGTTGATGCTTTAACGGCTGAGCCAAACCGGCCAGGGCTGTTCATGTTCATTTTTGAAAAATATATTTTTGATGGGTATAGAATTCTAGGTTTATAGATTAATTAGTTCTTAAAATATTATTTCTTTGTCTTTTGGTTTATGTAGTTTCTGAGGAGAGATATGTGAACAGTCTTAACCTTTGTCTGCCTGTACTTAATGTGCCATTTGTCCAACTGATTTAAAATTTTTGTCTTGCCCAGCCAATGTGGC